GCTAGAAATTGTGAAATTAGCCTGGCCTGGGGAATGGGTCCAGTTGAATTTATATATAGGAATTACATTTTTAATGTTCCATTGAATCTAACTCAGAATGGCTAGAGACACGGCTCAAGACTCAAGGACAAAAACTAGGAAGGCTTTGCACAAGAAATCTCTTTTCAATGAGTTAAATTCACGATTGGCCATTCAATTTTATATTCCGTGCCTCTATGACCACTAAATTTGATTTTATTTTATCATGACCATCTAACTTTATACTTAGTGTCATCATAGTCACCCAATTTCATATATTTCATCATGGTCACATAACTTCTTTTCACCATTTCACTAATTTTAAGTGGGATAAAATGGTAACTTTGTATTATATATATAAAATAAATTTAAAAAAAAGTTTTTTGTTTTATTTTAAAAAAACATTTTTTTAAAAATAAGTTTTTATTTTTCTAAGTAACGTTTTTTTTAAATAAATTTTTATTTTATTTTTTAAGTAAATTTTTTAAAATAATTTTTTATTTTATTGTATTTTATTTAATAATTCATTTTATATAGTGAAAATTAGTGAAAATGTTAAAAAGAAGTTTATGGACCATAATGAAAAGTTATATGAAATTGACTAATTGAGTGGTCATGACGAAACGTTATATGAAATTGTGTGGCCATGGTAAAATTAAATCAAATTAGGTGGTTATGGTGACATTATGCATAAAGTTGGGTGACCATTGTGAAAAAAATCAAATTGGATGATTATGATTTCACTAAATATAAAGTTGGTGGTCATGAGTGGATTTAACCTCTCTTCAAATCTAAATTGAAAGTAGATGGGTCAACATTTTGGGAAGAAATTGGGATGAGATTCATGAGAATAGAGGAAATACAAGGGAAACTCTAATCACTTAAGGGTGCTTTTGATTGTAAGGGTGGAAAATTGGTGGAAAGAAAATATTTTACAGGGAAAAGGTTTGTCTAGAAAATATTTTGTCGGGAAAACGATTTCAAGTGTGTTTGATTGGTATAATTTTACACGTAAAAAATTTTTAAATTTTCTATTTGTTTGGCTTTATTTTACATGGAAATTGTTCATTAAATTGATATATTTATTTCCACAATTAGTTATAAAATTTGTTTCAATTGCCAAAAAGTAAAAAAAAAAAAGAGGAAAAAAATTTGTTTCCTAAAAAATCATTTTTTTCATCAAAGTTTAGTATTCGTTTGATTTTGTGTTTACATGAAATTGTCCATTAAAGTGAAAAAAATTTTTACCATTGACTATGAAATTTGTTTCCATTGCAAACAAAAAAAAAAAAAATTC